CCCCAAAACCCCAAAACCCCAAAACCCCAAAACCCCAAAACCCCAGTTTTGTGAAATTTTCTTGAAATTAATCATCCTTCTTTTGGTTCTCTTTGGCATGAGTCACTTGATCAAATTTATCTTCTAACTTCTTCTTAAAAAGTGTGGGGATCAGTGCTATTCCTCCAATAACGAAGAGCCAAAAAATTTGTAAGATGCTTGTACCGCCAAGCTGGCTGATCTCTGAGAGGATTAGTCCAGTTCTGCAATGCACAATATTGACTGGGATCAGCCCGACAAATGTGGCAAACATAAAGGTTGGGAGCGGAATTCCAAGAATTGGCGAAGATATATTAATGATTATACTAGGTAATAGCGGAGTAATTCTCAAAAAGAGCAAGTATGATAGGACATTGTGCCTATGTTCCTTCACCATTGAGGAGAACTTAATGATTGCACCTGGGATTAATCTAACTACTAGGGGTTTTCCGAGAGTCCAAGAGACTCAGTAAGCCATAGAAGCACCCATAGTTGCTGAAACTGAAACTATTCAAGTACCTTTAACTCCTCCAAATAAAGCACCTGACAAAATGCTTAAAATTGTTGGACCAGGAATCGAAAATGTCTGAAGGAATAAATACAGACATACGAAAGCTGCTAACATAGTATAATAGTTTGTATCAGAATAGCTCATGATTACCTTGGACATCTGATCCAAGTCTTTTCCTTCTCTAGGAATTCTGAACAATATATCCCTTTCTTTTTGAGTAAAAGAGGGAAGTGACATAATAACGTAGAAGATTATGCTTGCAAAAATGACGAATAAAACAGCTAGAGGTTAATAGGCACCAAATTACCCAACCAAGTCGCATTCTTCTTAAAATCCTTCTGCGTCTCCTTCTTCAACTTCTCAATATCCTCTTGAGTGATTTCCTTTGTCATTTTTAATTATTTAACATTCCTTTAGACTCAAATTATTTTAACCAAAATGGGGTTTTGGGGTTTTGGGGTTTTGGGGTTTTGGGG